CTCTCTAATCCATCTTTCATTTAGTGACAGCAGAACTGATTTGCCAAACCCCTTTGCAGTTATAATCTTTGAGGCTTTTAGTTATCTTTTCCTGCAGTGATGATTTCAAGTTTCCTCTTTTCTTTCACCTTTGCGATTATTAGGGCTGCATCTTTCTCGGCACTTTCCAACCTTGTCATTCCTCTCTTATTAATATGAAATTTCATAAATCCTATGTCAGGCCTTTAGTTGCCGTGTCCTTTTTCATTCGTTCATTGTAATATTGCCTTACCAATCATTTTATCTCATTGTCTGCACATTTTTACACATTAGTAAAAACTATATGCCAAGTGGATCTGTAAATTATCTTAGCAGCAGCAATCTGTGAATGCAGACTTAGAGAGCACCCTACTGGTGTCATTACTGAAATACAGCCGTGGAAACAAATCTGCACACACAGATAAATTTAAACCAGTGACATTTTAAACAATTACGTTGATAGTATCTGTGATTAAGAGTTAGTGTCTACTGCATTTAGTTGCTAAGGTAGTAGTAGTGATGCACTGATGCAAGTATCAGCTGTTGGATAATATCTGTTTACACTTAGGTTCATGGAAGATCTGCAAACAGAAGTCCAAGAAATGGAATTCATAAAGTTTTCAAAGGGTTTGAATGTCATGAGAAAAGAAGACTTTGCAGAATGGTTACTGTACTTCACCGATGAGGAAAACAATGAAATTTACTGGCAGAATGTGAAAGACAGAATTGAGGCAGGAGAGGTTGGTATATGCATGCTTTGTTTTGCTTCCTCATTTGTATGTACAGGCTTTTTTTATTGCAGCTTTTGAATTTTATGCAAATAAGAACAATGGTAATTTGCCAACTGAGAACTACAAATATTGACAATGAGTAGGCAATCACACCAAAACACTAGGTCCCACCAGATTTAATGAGATAAGATTTATTGGTGTTTGAATGTATTATTCATTATATTTAATCTGAATTCTGTGATACTCTAGAATATCAGTTTGGAAGAATTCAAGACATTTTGCAAGTTTACAAACAACTTGGAAGACTTTTCTATCGCCATGCAGATGTTTACTGTAGCCAATCGTCCTGTTAAACGGGGTAAGTGCTGCACACCTTTCATATGTATTTTTTTTAAAAAAAAAATGCATTTTTGTTATGGAATTAATGAAAATAAGTTATCCCAAAGCATCCAAAAATAGCCCTATGTAGTCAAAGAATGGTATACTGTTCTTTATTCATAATTAATTCTATTTCATTAAAAAATAATAATACAAAGTTTTAGCAAGGCCTGTTGTGATAGGACAAGGGGTAATGTTTTTAAACTAAAAGAAGATAGATTTAGACTGGATATAAGGAAGAATTTTTTTATAGTGAAGGTGGTGAAACACTGGCACAGGTTGCCCAGAGAGGTGGTAGATGCCCCATCCCTGGAAACATTCAAGGTCAGGTTGGACAGGGCTCTGAGCAACCTGGTCGAGTTAAAGATGTCCAGTATTCTATGATTCTATGAAAGTTCCCAAAATGTTTTGATTTGTAAGTTCTAATGTGCTATCACATGCTGAACTGCTTGCGGCAGACTAAACCATAGAATCATAGAATGGTTTGGATTGAAAGGGACCTTTAAAGATCATCTGGTCCAATGTGCTGCTACCATGGGCAGGACATCTTTCACTAGCTGGTCAAACTAACCTGACCTAACCACATCTAACCTGACTTTGAACAATTCCACAACTTTGGGCCACATGTTCCAGTGTCCCACCACCCTCAATGTGAAATGTTTCTTCCTTATGTCCAGTCTAAATCTACTGGTTTTTGGTTTGAAACCATTCTGCCTTGTCCTGTAACTACAGGCCTTGGTAAAAAGTCTCTCCAGCTTTTTTGTAGACCCCCTTTAAGTACTGAAAGGCTGCTATAAGGTCTCCCCAGAGCCTTCTCTTCTCCAATCTGAACAGCCCCAAGTCTCTCAGCCTTTTGTCACAGGAGAGGTGTTCCAGCCCTCAGATCATTTTTGTGCCCCCCTCTGGACCTGCTCCCACAGCTCCATGTCTTTCCTGTGCTGAGGGCTCCAGAGCTGGATGCAGGACTCCAGGTGGGGTCTCACCAGAGCAGAGCAGAGGGGCAGAATCCGCTCCCTCGACCTGCTGGCCACGCTGCTTTTGATGCAGCCCAGGATACGGTTGGCCTTCTGGGCTGCCAGCGCACATTGCCGGGTCATACCTAAAGTTTCATCCCCAGTATCCCCAAGTCCTTCTCTGTAGGGCTGTTCTCGGTCCAGTTTAAGTTCTGGGTTAGGAAGGATTTATTGAAACAATACATGCTTTAGTAGTGGTTCGTGGTAACAAAGCTTTTTCCTCATAGTGAAGCTAGTTTTCTGAGCAAGCTAAACAAGAGAAGTCTCTTCTTTTGCAGGGTCTTTATCAACTTGCTGTGTTTTACTTATGCCTCCATACTGCCTTCTCCATGCGCTTATGTAACGTTATGCAATCGTAGCTATGAAAATCAAACAATGTACTAAAGTGATTTTTAAAATAAAGACTTGGAGGAGGGAAGTTGCTTCTTTCTCATGTAGCAGAAATAGGAACAATGCAACAAAAGTTTCATGCACATTCAAGTGCTTTTTGTTATAATCCTGAGGTTGTTACTCTCTTGTTATAGAAAGACATCTCTCGTAAGTTATTTGAAAATATTAAAACAGAAAGTTCCTAAGGAAATTTGATGAGATATTAACATTCATTGAAATAAATATTTGATGGGCTCATGTGAAAAAGGTGAGAGAGATGTGAGAAGACAGGCGGAGAACTCAGTATTCTTGAGAGAACTGTTTGGTTGGGGTTTGAACCAAAGAAGACCAAAAGTGGGGGAGTTTACAACTTGGGACTTTCATCACTAGTTAGTCCAGCCTTCGGGAAGAGTTTTGTTTCCACAGCCTCTCCGGGTGGCTGTTCTAGTGCTTAACCACTCTCATCGTGAAGAGTTTTCTCTTCTGTGTCAAACTCTTGCTGCAGTTTGCAATGATTGTGTCTTACCTCCACGCACCTTTGAGAAAAAAATGGTGTGCTCTTCTCTGTAACCCCTTTTAGGTAGTTGAAGGCTGCAGTGAGATCCTCCCTTACACTTCTGTTCTCCCCAGCTCCCTTACCTTCGCTTCTTCTATCACGTGCTCCAGTTCCTAGCCGGGTTCGTGGCTCTCCTCTCTCTAGTTTGATGACATCTTTCTTCTGTGGGTGGAGGCAGATTTTATTTGCAGAAGGTGCAGAAAGAGTGCAGAGGAAACAGGATAAATTAATGGTGAAATAATAGTTATGAATGAGGTATGAGAGTTTAGCTCACTTCTCTATGAAGTGTCACGTTTTTAAGGTCAATAGTTGGTGTTGACTCTGCCTTGTAAAAACTCATTCCTAACCAACAGACGGTTGTGGCTCTGTTTATGCACAGAACCATACTGTGATCAAAAACAGCCAGCTTCTGAGGTACCTCACGGATGTGACATGTCTCATCCTTTCCTGAATCTCACCAAGTTCTTTGTCTTGCTGTTTGCATGTGTGTATTCACACACATATGAATATTTATCTAAAAATAAGACAGTCCTTTAGTCATTCCTTTTGTTCTAGACTTTTTTTCTATTAAGTTAGCAGCTTGACTTTTCTCTCTGGTAAGGTGGCCCTTCTCAATTTGAAGATATTATACTCCACCATTTTAGAAGATCTTTCTCCTGCCTGTTCCGTTCCAGCAAGTGCTGCAGTACCATCTCTGGATTTATATTTAGATTCAAGAGCTGAAACAGTTAACATGTTTTTAAAGACAAAATTAAGACTCTACTATAAACATCCCAGATTTCATGTCCTTTTCAAATTGTGGTATATCCTTCTACAGAAGGATTTTCAACTTAATTGTATTTAAACCAACTGTAAATTAATCAACTGCATTTGTACAGGAATTGTTGAAAGAGGCAAAGATGAGAGCTAAGTCAGGATTGCTCTTTCCTCTAGTAAGCTTCAGAACTAATTGTATTTATAATGCTATTTATAAACAGCACTTGTTAGTGAAAGCAGAACCATATTATTACTGTATTTATGACTTAGTTGCACAGCTTGCTGTAATATTCTACAATACTGCTGTACTTCAATAACCTCCAGTCCTTCCTTGAAATTCACACTTCCTTGATGCCTTCAAAAATGCATCCAATTCATGTGTTGTGATTGTGCTTGCTAAAATAAACAATAATCATTTCACTCTTACTATCTGCTGTTTTACAGCAACCGTACACCTTTCTTCATCTTCCTTGAGTCAAAACTCCAAATTCTTCACACCACAAGACCAAAAGTGGGGATAGTAGGTATTACTGTAATGCACGTAGTAGTGTAAAGAGGGAAGGCCAAGAAGCTGCGGAGGGAGGTAGATCTCCAGAGAGGTATGACAGCTTTTTCTGCCATAAATCCTCATAAACTCTTTGATCATAATTTAAGAGAAGGTGACGTGCGGAATCAAACTTCACAACTCAGAGAGTTATAAAGCAGGTATGTTTATTGTGGCGCCGGGTGCAAGGGGGATCGCTCCTCCTAACTTGCACACTGAGTCACGAAGCATGCACCTATTTATTACAAAGCTTATCTAAATAGGCTGGACTATTGTAATTATTTCTAGGAATTCATTATCATACTCCACCCCCCTTTAGCACTTGCGCAGTGTCGTCTGGTGGTCGTCTGTGGGGGTCTTCTCAATGAAGGCTCATAGTCTTCCTCACTGTGTGCTTTCACCTTTGGCTCAAAAATTCCTGAGTTGTCTGTGTTGGCTGAGTCCCAAACAATAGAAACAGTTTCAGTTAGAGAGTTGCGTCTTACAGACAACAAAGTTCTGGTTATCAGTCCTTGTTTCTCTTCGTCTGTCTCACAAGCAGTCCTTGTTAGCTACATTTGAGCCACAACAGTCCTTGTTAGCAAGATTACAAAGAGCAGAACTAAACTGAATAACAGTGTTTAACTCTTACTTTAACATAGATGCAAAGTTATATAACAAAATTAAACTAAAGCTATAGCAAAATTGAACTAATTTTCAATTCCCCACATCAAAGGTAGCCTACTTCTTTAAAAAACAGAACTACAGGTATATAAAGCCATGTGCTGTAAACAGTGTGTTGAGTATTTGATGGTCTGTGTTTCTTCTACAGAGTTGCTGAGGGGATTGTTGGTTGAGGTGGAGCAGATTGTAAAATACTGTTCTCTGAGGATAAGAGTTTTCTTGCAAAATGAATTGGCGTGAAACTGGTTCGAGATAAAATGGTAGTGTTTTTTATGAGACTGTAGTGAGGCAAACGCTTATCATCCATATGCACAGGACCTTATAAATGCTTACAAATATCTGAAGGGTGGGTGTCAGGAGGATGGGGGCCAAGCTCTTTTCAGTGGTGCCCAGTGATCGGACAAGGGGCAATGGGCACAAACTGAAGCACAGGAAGTTCCGTCTGAACATTAGGAAGAATTTCTTCCCTCTGAGGGTGATGGAGCCCTGGAACAGGCTGCCCAGGGAGGTTGTGGAGTCTCATTCTCTGGAGATATTCAAGACCCGCCTGGACAAGGTCCTCTACAGCCTACTGTAGGTGACCCTGCTTCGGCAGGAGGGTTGGACTAGATGATCCCCAGAGGTCCCTTCCAATCCCTACCATTCTGTGATTCTGTGTGATTCTGTGACGTAAGTTTTCAGCATGCAGCTATTTCTATCAAACATTATCACTCTTACTGTTGCTTGAGAAGTAGTGCATGTCAAAAGTTTGTCATACAATTAATAAAGATTGTGTAATGTAAGATGAAGCAAGCTCAAGAACACATGAACTGAGGCCTCCTAGTAGTTTACAAGTTCACACATCCCAAATTCTCCAGTTAGAACACTCATGAGACACTGTACATTGTACAGAATCCTGCTGTTTATGTACCTTCCTATTTCTTTACAAGTTCACAGTCACTTACAATGTAATATTATGTCTTTACTAGCTGAATTCAAGAGAGCTGTGAAGGTGGCAACAGGACAGGAGCTCTCAGATAATGTTTTGGATACCATCTTCAAGATTTTTGATCTAGATGGAGATGACTGCCTGAGCCATGGCGAGTTTCTTGGAGTCCTGAGGAACCGAATTCATCGAGGTTTGAGGGTAACAAGCTGGCATAATTGGTTTTAAATACCACAGATGACTGCTACAGCTGTCTTGTTAACGCTTATAGAAACACAAGTAGGGGTAGTGCACAGAAAGTTGCATTTTCAACTGAGGATTCCTTACTGCTTGTGAATCTGGGAGGAGTGCTGCCACTAAGAACTTGTTATTATGCACATGAACTATGGGAGGAGCAGCACTGCATTACATATTATATTCACACAGTTGGTGAATAAGAGTCTTTTTTGTGTAAATACTAAACATATTTTAACTTTATTAACAGGTACCGCAACAGCAAGGCATTCAAGGTTACTGGAAGTGTGTGAAAAGAGAAAGCATTAAAGGAGCCAAAGAAGTGTGGAAACAAACTGGGAAAAGTCCTTTTTAAAGCAGTTCTTTGTTCTTTTGCTATAAATGTTGTTATTTGGCGGGGGGTATCTGTCCTGTTTACATGATAGCTGAATCAAAAATGCTTTTTTTTACTATAGTTAAGCTTTAATTAACCCAGTTTCTAATGCAATAATTTTATATCGTTCTAGTGCAATCAGTTTGGTTTACAGAACTGTTAGCACTTTTGACCTCCATATGGAAGTACTCTTGTTCTAGGGAATAGTAGTGTTTACTCCTCTGTGGAGTCTCCTGCGCTGTAACATACAGGATATGCAGGATTTAATAGTGGCCACTGGCAGGAACATCACAGCGATATCATCTCCTGTTGGAAGAGTGGACATCATCTCAGTTAGCCACTAACACAGCAGTTCTCTTTCCCAGGCAAGGACAGAGGTCTAAAAGGCAAAACCACTTGCACAATCCACGCAAATCAAGTTATCCTGAATCAAAAACGAAAATTCGCATGGTTTGTGCCCTCCTTACTGTGAACTGCTTGTGTGCTAGTTCCTGGTGGATGATTCCACCAGATCCCTGTGTAGATGTCTGGTTTGTCTACCTTCATGATGATAATATTAAACTGGAAAATACAAGACTTGATACAGGCTTCAAAAGTTGTACATTGATCTGAGAATGTGTACTGAGTCTCTCAGACCCCTTCAACAAATACTATAAATGAGAAGCAAAAGTCCTTGTTTTATCATAAACAGCGGTAGCTACAATTTGGGATGTAACTATTTTGCTTTAATTGTATTGCAGAAGGTGAATGTGTGACAAATAGTTGCTTTATCTTACTAAAGGTTGTGACAGGGAATGCTGCAGTATCTCAGGAATTCAAGGTTATAGTAAGCAAGTGTTGGGGGAATAAGTCATCCAATGAAAAAGTAAATAAACATATTACTCAAAAATGCAAAGGTAAAGATCTTAAAAATAAACCAAGGAACAGATCATAATTAACATTTAGCAGTTACGAAGGGACATTTTTAAACTATAACATAGTGTGCATCTGTGTATACACAGGTGTGTATGATGCATATTTTTTCTTTCTTACAACCTTAGGAACCAATAGTCCCAGGTCCACATCAGTCTTCCAGGTTGGCCACTATATATAGGAGACAGACTTATCTGTAAAGCTCTCAAGGTTCTTCTTCTTTCCCTCTCCCAGTTGCCTGACTTGTCTTGGCTGGGGTGAAAGCTTAACCTTTCAAGACAAGTTCGTGATACCAGACTGGAAAGATGGACCAGGGAAATGTCTCAAGAAAAACAACCGCAAATCTCACCACTGTGTGAGGAAGTATCCTTCCCTTTTAAGCATGACACTAGCTATGTTATTCTCAAAGTTGCATGTAAGCTGAACAGGAGGTGGCTTTGCTGTAATTTCTTTGGGCTTTAGTGCGGGGAGCCTTGAGAAGAGGGGAACCTTCCGTGAGAGGTAGATACCAGAGCAGCCCTCACTCAGATGAGCAGCAGGAGAGACTGCGTTGGGAAACCATAAAGATACCACCTGAGGAGTACCGGAATTACAGAGAATGTATTTAGGCTCACAGAGCAGCAGCGTGCACCTGCCTGCTGCTCTTCCCTCCACAGATTCTAATTTAAATTGTGTTAAAGAGAAAACACTTGTATTACTGTCATCTGCGGACATGCACCCGGAGTCGCCCAGCAGAACAAGAGCGTGCCTATGTGGGCATCCCGAGCCTGTCTAGAAGATCAGGCACCAGTGACCACCAAGGATCCCTTTCCTTCCCCAGGAAACAATCAGAATGAAATAAAATGTAGTAAACGCCTCAGCCTCCCTCCCCCCAGACTGAACTCCCACACTGCTCTGGGAGCAGCAGGGAATTAGATAGCTGGTTTACTTTGTGCGTTTGGAAGTTGCTTGTGTCTTCTGATGATGGGAGCTATGAGGAAGAGATAGCTGGTGGGAGCAAAGGGGGGGCAGCAGGACTGGCATCAAAGTACCGCAGCCAGGTTCGCGTCTCCAAATGGTGTAGGGCGCAATCCAGCAAGACACGTCCGTATCACAAAGGTGTGTGTGTTCACCCAGGGCACACTTGGTTCCAGCTCTGGCTTTAATGCAAGACTGCCTTCTACTTGTAGCTGTTAATATTTTGGCAAATTATTTTTACTTTGGAATGGAGATTTTTCTTTATCGTTTTATTCTGTGTAATGTTAATAGGTTTATGATGTTCTTAATTGCTTTTGTGGTTTCTTTTGTTTACCAATGGCTTGCTTCATACAAGCTGTTTGATTTTCTTTTGGAAAAATCAATTCATTTAGCTTTAGTGTATCTAGAAGTTTAATTCCTCACTGCTTATTTGTGTCTGGGTTTGTGCAATCAGCAGTATCTGCTTTCGGCAGCAAGTTACCAAAAAACGGGATTTCAAGTTTTATTTTTTAGCAAAAGCTTTGGTGTCAAATGCAGAGGCGAAAGGAAAGAGATATGCTTATTTTTAGATGAACTTTGTGTCTGTACTAAAAAAGAAATTAAACTATTGATTAGGAATTAAAATACAGTTGCAAAACATTTTCAGAAGAAGTTATCATGAAAGTACGGCCAGGAAGGAACTCCTTCGAAGGCCAGGGAAGACTTGTCCATCAGGCTTGAAGAATCAGACTCTGTGTTTAATCTATAGTCTATTTTTGTTTGTCTTAACTAAAAGGCTTTACAGAACAGTCTTAAAATAATTTCTCATGTTTAATGTCTTAGATCGAAAGAGCTGCTTACGTGTTTAGATTGACCTTGTCTTTTAAGGAATCTGTGGTAGTTTTAGCATTAGATGTTTTGTTTCTTTTTAGTAACTTTATTGTTTTTGTAACCTGTCCATCAGCGTTACTCAATACAATTTAGTTAAAAGTTTATGCCACCTGCCAATCTATCAGTTAAACTTACCAGTTTGACTTTTTAAATGCTAGGAACCCTTCCTCTGAACAGAAATATCTAGAAAAACAAAATAAAACTTAATTTTTTAAAAATCTCCAGAATTGCATGAGTGTTGTGTGGAATAAAGTTGAATACATTGCACATTGCAGAAATTTCAAAAATTGATTTAACATAGTTCAGAAGGATACACGAGGGTGAGTACAAGTCATTTACACCATATAACTCATTCACAGAATTTTAGTTGTCTCCCCGTAACAACACTTCTTACATTTCTTTGTTTGTTTAGTTTACAAGAATTGTTCATGTTTAAGAACATTAATGCAGTGTGATATGCTAGAACTAAGAGAAACCCATCGACTGTGTCTAGAAATTACTTTTGGTGTCCCAATTTATGCAAGCCTCCTAAAAGCAAAACTCCCTCTGGAGTCAAACCAAGTTGGTAGGTTTTAAAATAATATGCAGCAATGAGGAGTACATACTTGGCATATAAGAACTGAAAAAGTTTTATCACGATGTTATATGGCTGCATCAAAAGCAAATCGCTGATACTTACTCCATCTCCTCCAGTTCATTGTCTGCTTTCAGGTTTCAGACAGTTTGCCCACCGATGGTGCTTGGAAACATGCCAGTGCCTGACCTGAACTCAGATATCATCGGGATGTGTTGGCTTCTCTGTTGAGCCAGGTATTATTAAAAGGCTGAACAATATGTTCATTCCTAATTTTAACTTTTGGTGGAGCATACGTGAAGTTTTTATAATCTTAGAAATTATAAATGTTTTGTCTCTGGGCTCCAAGGTGTCTCAGAGCTTGTGGAATTTTTGGTGTAGAGATCGGACAGTAAGATAAACAAGCCAGGCCATGGATTGCGGTTTCATGGCACTTCGTATGTCCAGTGCATGTAACAGGGAAGGATCACTGCCCAGTAAAGGGCTAGAATGGGAACAAACCAGGTATTTACAGGAAGTATTTTAAAATTCAGGCACTTTGACTTAAGCATAGAAATGGATCAATGCATGCACATCGGAATTTAAAAATGCAGTTTTCTTCTCATGCAAGAGTTCTCGTGGGACAGTGCAAGCATGTCTCAGACTTTCAGATTTAATCTTTCCTATAAAACAATCACAGCTGGGTCAGGGAACTACTCCAATGCAGAAAAAAATCTTCAGTCCTCCTGAACAGAAAATACGTGTCCAAATGATGTTGTGGTCAGTGTTGGTGAGATCCAAGCTGACCAAGCAACAGCTCCTATAACACAGCTGGTCACATGAAGGTGAAGCTGGTGGACACAGACACACACTGTTAGCCCCCAGCTGACCACAGAAATCCCTCCTAGAGAAACTGAAGATGTCGCCCAACAGCACGTGGAAAGCCTTGTTCAGGACAGGAGGCCTGAAAGGCTTGAGCATCCACAAAATTAATTGGTAAACAAGTGCACGTCTCTTCACTCTGCTGCTACTTGAAGATTTCTTGGTGGCTTTGTTGATGACACAATTGCTAGTTGGTTCAACAATATAAAAATTATGCAACATATGCAGAGACAGATTTCCCATTAGGCTGGTGTTGGCGCAGTTAATGATGTTTCCAGTTCATTAACCAGAGTGCCCCAGCGCAGAGCTCTGCTCGCCATCCTTGGGAGCCACGCCGGTGTCCGGGGGAAGCTGCTTAACCGTGCACCCACCTCGTCGGTTTAGAAAGAACTCCTCATGCCCTGAGAAGCAAAAAGCCACATTTTCCCATACCCACGTACCCAGTGTGAAGCTTGTCTTTTCCTCTTCTGCCCCTGGCTGAGGGTGGCCTGCCTTACCACGCTGGCCAGGTGGTGGGGGTAACACGGACGGCCGCGGGCTCAGGGAGCACAGACACTGCACCTTGCAAAACATGGGGTTTGTGCTGGCCCCTTTTCAGACACACAGATTTGAAAATCTGGGCAGAGGGATATTCTGTAGTCAGTGTAGAGCTTTTTTATTTTCCTCCTTTGATTTCAGACAGCAGCGAAGTGCTTTGAAAGACCCTCTGAAGGGCCTGGCCTTTCTCCCTGAACTGCAAAGGGCGCACAGAAGATGAGCTTCACTGGACTAAACTTGTATTTCATGAATGCTGCCTTTCTTCATCGTC